TAGAGGTGATTCATGCGTCAACACGTGTGCCAGAACTGAGCATCCGGTAAGTCGGAGTCAGGATGTTATGTTATCTGGCTGTAGGCTGTTCCTTTTTAGCCAGGTGCAGAGCTATTCGAAGGCATCTTTTGCGGTTAGGTCACTGACCACGTAATGAACTGCTTGATTCCGAAAAATTGCGGTTATAACATTCGGTCGGTGACATAAAAACTCGTATCGCTTCAAAGTTTCCTGTGAGAAAATGCCTATAACGTGGACCACAGGAAAATGAAAAACGAAAACTGCGAACACGCGTTAGGATATTTGACCGTGAAGTAGTGGATTCTAACATCAAAACCCAAGTTCTGAAGTATCATCTTCTAAGGACATTAGTTAACATCAATCGCCTCTAAGCTATAGTAATCATAGGAAGCTGTTAAATGTTTTTTGGGTTCAAAATAGCCACAACAGTTTCCATTAACGAAACAGACAGAAGATTAACAGTTATCACAAATCCTAACATAGATAAGCCATTCTATTTTGCAATTGCTATCTTCGAACGAACCTTTAATGTAATCAAATATGGTGAACAGCACTCCACTATAAAGAAGAGAGTGAGTTATTTTTTGGCTTTTTTAGGTAAATTAAAAACAACTGGTCAAAATGTTCCCTTTTTACTTGGACGTTACCTTAGAGAAAGGTAACATGCAGTAGAGTATCAGTAGCATATCTGATTCAAGTGAGTTTTTAAGAGGTAACTTATCATGTAATGTTTTAATTGATCTTAGGCTTAACAAAATCAGAATTTTGTTGTGGACGTTACCATTGCTCGAGAATAGATTTTGGTGTTTCCAGGAATTTACATATATAGGTGACTTTGCCAACTTAATGAGAACGAATATGCAAACAGTAACGCTTCTGGCAAAAGCTTCTAGTACCTATCTTATTTTAAAGGTTTTCATCTAAACGTCGAAAAGAATATACGTTTATGGAAGAAAGCTGGAAATCACTGAAAATCAAGGAATATTTGTCGAAATTTGCCGGACGATCTGTAATTAATTGTAATGCAAAACCTGAAGTATGTATATAGAAATAGGACGAAGGAAAGGTTTTGTAGCATAAAAAGTGGTATGGTAACCATCTCCCCTGACTAATTTATTTACCTTTATTGGTAAATTTTATAGCTATCGTCCACGTTGAGGATCCTTTAGAAAATTTTTTTTCAAACGGGTAATTAGTACTTTTTATAGTTCTTGTAGGTACCGAATTTGCCGATGGTTTTTCATTACTATAGGCTGCCCCAAAATAATGTTAACTCTTTAGAATTTATATTATTACCTTAAGAATAATAATGTTTATCGATTTCTTAACCCTGTTGGTTGGCGATGTATTTTAAAACAAACTGTATACCCAATGCCCTCTGTACAGTACAGCAGTAGATTGATAGAAAAATCTCTAAATCTCTAAAAAGTAATAACTCGGATCCTGATGGTGCGAGGCTCAGACGACAGGGATCGAGCTATATGTATGATAGAGGCCGGGATGCAGCGATTGAGATTGCTCAAACTGTAGTTGTATCTATCAGAGCGGTCAATGATTGGTGTTAACGGTACAAACGAAAAGGTACCCTCCCAAACAGAAGAACTCTGGAAGACCAAAAATGTTTAATCGATGTTACAAAAACCATTGGTAAACCAAGGCAAAACACAAAAAAAACTCGCAACGAAACTGAATGCTTAAGGCCGGGAAGGGCTCTAAGTTCAGTGTGCACCGATATTTTCATGGAAGGTTTGGTGTAACCACCCATTACAGAAGGAAAATCCGTCGATTAACAGAAAAAAAATCAAAGGTGGTCAGGAGGCGGACTGTAGATGACTGGAAACAAGTCGTCTTTTCCGATGAATCGCTGTAGGATTTGTTCCCTCCGCCAAACACGAAATGGGCTCCAAGTTGTAAGATTGTTTTAGAATTTTGAGTTTCCAGAATTTAACCCTACATTCACGGAGGGAAGGCATCGGACAAGTAAATAGTCTTGACTTAAAAACCAGTTGAAAATCCATGAGCAATTCTTGGTAACATGGTTGACGAGGTACTGCCCGCTGGATCACTGACCCGTCAGAATCCCGTTCAGTTGATGCCAAGTAGTGCAGAGGCTATCTTTAAGGTCAAAGCAAACTTTTTAGTAAAGTAAGCTGTGAAATATATGCATATTACTTTAGAAACTGCGAGTGTGCTACTGTGATGAAGAATTTCAGGACACCCTTGACTTCAAAGTTTTTATGCATCGTGTATTTTAGTTTGTGAGTGATTATCAACCTTATTATACAAGTATAAAGAACTTATAATCTCCCCGGTTGCATTTTTAGGACCGTACAACCGTCTCTGGTGTTGGAGGGACATCTCGAGGGTGCGGCTTTGGTCAGCCAGACTAACGATTTGGTTTTGCGGGCGGAGTGTGAGGATGCTGGTGGCGGTCAGGCGGCCTGCAGTGGTCCAATGAGCTGGCACCTTTCTGGAATCTACCCCAGCGGCAAAGTAGTGCCACTAACGCCCTCAAAGCAAAAGAGCACAATCGAAGGTAAGACCCAGGAA